ATATATATATATATATATATATATATATATATATATATATATATATGTTTATAACTTCTTTTTTATAGATGCAAATATTTAAGTAAATGCTGTTTATAATAAACAGTATTTACCGGCCTGAATGACCAAGAAATCTCGAAGAAAATATGTGTTCTCCTCCGATAGGGATCGATCCTGTATCCTACACGGGGCCGTCATATAGCCTGACGTGCTATAACATTTAGCTACACAGGAACCGTTTGGTTAGCAAGGTCAAATTACCTATTTTAAACTACAAATTTCCCATGATTTTTTTTCGAACGCTTATATCTGCTCGAAGCGTCTGTTAACGTAAACAAATGACATCATATATTATGAAATGGACTAAGTCCGACAATTATTTTAATATAAGTAAATGCTCTGTTTATAATAAACATGGCATTTGTTTATTGTAAACAGAAGATTTACTTAAATATTTGTAGCTATAAAAATAACAAACAGAAATATATTAAAAATAATTGTCGGACATTTCATAATATATATATATATATATATATATATATATATATATATATATGTGTGTGTGTGTGTGGTGTGTGTGTGTGTGTAAATGCCCCATATGCATACATTTCTAAAATATACGAAGGGTGGTGAGCTTTCGGTTTGATCCTACATTTATTAAATTAATAATTAATAAAAATTAATTAATAAAAAATGTTTATCATTCTTCTAAAGAGCGTCTTAGCTAGGCTAAGAACTTTTCACCACTACTCATATATATGTTACGCGCATTCACAGATGTTATATATATATATATATATATATATATATATATATGCGTACCCTTTTGTAGAAAAGGCGAGTATTATACATGAATGTTCGAGGAAATGATGAAAAGTTCTAGGCCAACCATGGTTTTATAAAATAAATTCTCCTTTTTGAAAAGTGTATCGCCCGAGAATTTCATCAGAACTCACTCGTATCATCCTAAAATATACGCGTTTACTAAATTCATGAGTGTATATTCATATGCAATTATATACCGGATGCGCCATACACATGGGTGTATAATATTCCTCAATACATGTGGGAAGTCATCACGTGACCGAATAAGATCACCTCTTCGACTCGATTACCGTTGAGAACATGTCGATATTTGACAATATTGTCGTTTATGAGGTCTCATGTGGCTCAGTAGACCTGCAAAGAGACTTGTCACGCCATATATATATATATATATATATATATATATATATATATATATATATATATATATATAGTTATAATTCTAATAATAAATATGCATTTTGCTCAGCACCGGTAGCACAACTCTTGAGTTTCATGCACGGAGCAATTGTCAGGTGCGGATTGAAAACTGATCGTTCTAAAATCTAAATATTTAAATTAAGATAAATATTCAAATTTTACAACGGTCAGTTTTCAATCTGCATCTGATGATTACTCCATGCATGAAACTCAGGAGCTGGGCTATCGGTAAGGGACTAACTGTATACTTATTAGTTATTAGTAGTAAAAATTTTAGCTGTATTATTATACACCGAACACTGTTTTATTACCCCCAGCATTCAATGTGCGATATTGCATATATATATATATATATATATATATATTGTTATACAAGTTTAATTGAAAAAGACTGACAAGGCACTTTTTAATAATTTTTTCTTCCATTCGTACAACTGATTTCTTTTCTGGACATAGTGTGTGTGTAAAAACTGCCCGAATGATCTGTAGAGATCTGACCGCCAATCTGTTAGCCATTGTCAAGGATACTTTTTCATTTTAAAATATATATATATATATATATATATATATATATATATATATATATATAGTTGTATGTTTCAGCAGCAATCCCTCTCTAATAAACGATTTGTTAAAAAATAACCGACAAGATATTTATGTTATTTAAAATTTGCTTTATTTATGGGGGGAGAGGACGAAAAATGAGAGATTGATCCTTTATAGATGTATACACAATGTGGGTATAAAAAACAAAACAGCATGGTAACTCTCACTTTTACGTTTCAACGCCATCTTCAGACTATAATTACTTAAAATTTTTTAATCCGACATATTAGTAAATACTTCAAACGTTATATTTAGTGGATACACGTAACTGAGTTAAACCCCCGTTTATTTTAAACAATATTTATTTTGTCTAGCCGCCAGCGTAACTGTAAATTAAACTTTTAAAAATAAACATAGCGTCTACTCAAATACAAGCGGATATCCACTAAAAATAACGCTTGAAATTATATATATATATATATATATCAGTGAACACTGAGGTCAACAATAAGTGGCGACAGTCTGTTTCCCGCTTGAATGCAAATTTCAGACGATGAAAAACTGAGTTCAAGCATGAAACAAAGTGGCGCCGTTCGGTGATGACCTCTCTGAGGTAGTTTTATATTTACGCACATACACACACGTGTGTGAATATAGCAGAGGGAAGCTTTATTTTACACACCATATATTTGTTTTTGAATATAATCTCATTCTTTGTCAATGTATTTAACCCGATGCTTCCCCATCAGTAACCGAGATCGAAAATTATACAGACACCAGAAATGAAACGGCATTATACAATGAAAGTTGCTCATGCAATTCCAGGCGTCTCCGGCTACGGACATACTGACCCACTCTCGTCGACACAAACGTACAGGCAGAATTGTACGCAGGCGGACGTATGAAATCTTGGATAATAGGTTAGTGACATACAGTCATGCATGAATAATTATTACTAAAACGCCTCTAACATATACATACATATTAAACATTCCTACTTAAACGGTCCTATGTTACCATTTAAGTAAGATTAAGAAATTTAAAGTATCATATATATATATATATATATATATATATATATATATATATATATATATATATATATATATGTGTGTGTGTGTGTGTGTTGTACTTAAACATTCCTAACGTTCCTATTACTACTTAAACGTTTCTAGAACCTTTTTCTCTAAATATTACTTTTAATGTTCCTATATATATATATATATATTTCTGCGCATCATGATCTAGCATATTCCGCCCAGAGTGTAAATGTGTGAGTATTACGCCTTGTATAAATTATGTAAACACGATTTACTTTAAAAAACAATGTCGATGATAATTTTTCTTTTCTTATAAATTCTAAAAAGGAATGTCCTGTTTACATGGTCTCCTTTTCTAGACTTTGATATTTGATCCAAGTTTTCGCATGAGAAATTATTTTTATGTTTTTTTTTCTTTGTAATAAAAAATAAAATTACACTTTTGCTTCTGATCTTTTTAGTCATTATTGTGGTGGCACTGAAAATTTCTCAACACAAGCCACTTCCTAAACTTTGAGAAGAAGATTAAAAAACCAAATATCAGTTGTTTTCATCCTTATTATGGTCTTAGGTTGTGCTGTAAACTTTCTTCTTAGCAGCCCATTCATAGAAGAAATAATCAAAATTAGTAGAATCAAATCGAAATAAATAAAAATAGATGATGGATAAAATATTAGTTAAGTAAATATAAATGAAATAATTAAAACTAAAATTTATAAATAAAAAATAGACGATAAATAAAATAAATATCGATGATAAAATAAAAAAGTAAATATAACTAATAAATAATAATAATTAATAAATAAAAATACAATTTATAAATAATAAATAAAATAAGGAAAAAAGAAAAGAAATTAATACAAATAAAAAGCTCTTGAACAACTACTAATCTCAATGGTTTAATAATATAATTATGAAAAATAATTAATCTTAATAATGCAGACATCTTTCAAATTTCACTATAGGTCAAACTCAGACGCGTAAAAAACATTTTTTTGATGTATGTTCTGTATCCACTCAAGCAATATGCTTGACAAACACAACTATCACACATAATGTTGTGTTATGTTTATTAAAATACTGCCAGTCGGTATTAATCGATAGACAAAATACGGAAAAAATAATTTTCATAATCCTTCTTGATATGGGATGTGACATGATGTGAAACACCATTTCTAAACGCACGCACAGTCCCGGCAAAGTTTAAAAATACTTACAAACAACTAAAACTTGTTTTTTTCTTTCTTTCTTTTCATTATAATCTTTTTGCAAATCTCAAAACAGTAGCTTTTTCTTGGTGCACACTTACCCCTATCCATTAAAAAAGAAAAAGAAAAGATTACATAGACAGATAGACTTCTATTCAGTTTCAAAGGGCATAAAGCAAGCGAGCGCGTGGCTAAAAAAAGTATTCCTCGCATAGACCGTAAATACCATGCTAACTAGGTCAATATTTGAAGAGTAAGACAGTACGATCTCTTGAAATAGTCATATTTACTTGTTTTACTATTTCTTTTTATTATTATTATTATTATTATTATTATTAATTTAAAGAACACTTAACAACTAATTTGGGGGATAAGAACTGGTTTCTGGGAATATGTAAATGTTGTGCACTTTTATTCATAGCGAGAGCATACCTCTAATTTTTTAAAACTATATTTTTATCACCAGTTTTATATTTGGATAGCAATCACTCTCTAATACAGGTTTCTTTTAAAAATTACTGACAAGGTACTTGTTAAGTTATTTTATTATTGTATTTCTATTGCATGAGCAAGATATTTTTTTTTGGGGGGGTGACTTAATGAGTTTAGAATTTGTACTTCCAAAGGGTTGGTTTAATAATCTGCAGCTATATTGTAAAATGAAAATGTAAATGGTGCGTAAAAAAATACAATTCAATTATGATCAGTTTTTAAAAGTTGCTTAAAGGTAGACATATGTTCTCTTATTATTATCATTATTATTATCGAATACATCCAGCAGTATATTGTAGCCATTTTCATAGCTGATGTTTTTCAGGATATTTTTTTTGTGTATTAATGATAAAAAAAAAACAAACTAGTTTCAATCATTTTGAGACATTTTTTGCTGTCAGAGGAGCGTCACATTTGTGATATCGACAAGTATGTTGCGAATCGAGGTTACATGCTAGTTTAAATTTAGCCGTCTATCTATCTATCTATCTATCTATCTATCTATCTATCTATCTACCGTTATATAACGCATATGTACGGTTTCAGTGATTTTTAATCTGCCGCTATTTCAGTTAAGAAAACTTTTGGAGTAAGATAACTTTGCTGTCTGCTGAATCAGTTATATGCACTTCATCAGTTCAAGGCTAACTCAATCTCTCTTTTTTTTAGCCCTCAGAACGGCATTCATCCATAAATGGTAAGTAAGTGTAAGTCACAAAAGTTGTAGCGTTCCGTTAGTAATCTAATGAATGTCAAAAAAAAAAAAAAAAAAAAAAAGAAGAAAAGAAAAAAATATTTGCCTTTGTAAGACATTTTTTTTTCTGTGTTTGAAATCATAAACTTAGGATAGAACTTTAGGAAACCCACCAGTCCCAGGCTTTTTCACTAAAGTATTTTCAAGTTTTTATTCAGTATTTGTTTAAAAATGTACAAGAATTGTAAATATTTGGCTATTCTGTGTTTTGTTTCAATGGTCACCATTATATTGGAAGACTAAGTCAGCCAGAACAAGTAATTCAAATTAAATAATATCAATTAATCATTTTCGATAGTTATTAGCATTTTTATTGCTATTGTTTTTATTGTTGCAATTTCGAAAATAAATAAATAAAAATTAAAAAAAAACACAACTTTAAAAAAATAAAATAAAATTGCGTTGTCCCGACTTTATTTTATTTTATTTTTTCGATATTTTTTTTACTCTTTACGTCGATTTTTTACTTGATTTGTTATTGATTTTATTTTTGTTATAATTGACAGACCATCATCACAACAACTATGAAACTATATAATTACCAAATTTATCGTACGAGTGTGTAGCAAAATAAACTTTAAAAAAAAATGTATTTACATTTTTTTCCAATTATTTTTTTCACGTCGGTTCTCCAAGAAATTATGACGCAAATATTCATTTCCAACTTAAAAGGGAAGAAAATAAAAAGATGTATTTAATCACAAGATGAAATTTTTAAAAAAAGCATACTGCCGCATACATCACGGAAATCGCTTCTTTTTTGAAAAGAAAAAAACTCGTGTACGGTGTACGTAAGGATGATAAGATGACTGGCAGTTTTAAAACAAAAAACATATTTTCAAACGTAAAAAAAAAAAGGAGTAATCGTACTTTCTATATTTAACCAAGAAAGTGAAGATTGTTATTAGTAAAATACGTAAATTTATTTAAACAAAACAAACTATAATATGAACTGGATACGGAAGGCTTAAAACTTGAGTGTACGCCATAAAAAGATTCCTCGTACTTAGTTGAGACTACTACTAAAACTACTGGTACAGTTAATTTGGAACTAACAATAGCCGATGTTTCCACCATTTAAAAACGATGTCTCCTAGTCTTTTTTCCCTGAAATCGATGATAAATTTTAATTTTCTTTATCTATTGTTTTTCTTTATTTTATAATACAATCTAAAAGAAAACAAAAATTTGCGTTCTTTTCACCTTCCGTATGGTAGCGAATCATGACTTCTTTCGACACAGTGAGTAAAAAAAGTCCCACTATATAGACAGGCTCTTAATTTCGAACATCAAGTTACTTAACAAACAAACATAAAAAAAACCCTTGAAAACGAGCTTTAAACTATTTTTTTCTTTCTTGGTAGCTTTGCTTTGTTGTATGTATTACGAGGCTAAAAAACAAAAGAAAAGCAAAAAAAACCTAAAACAAAAAAAGCAACGTAAAATAAAATAAAGTTTAAAAAAATATTATAAGTTAAAGTTAATTTCTAATTTGGAAGTTAAATTAGAGATTTGTAATTTTAAAGATTACAATTAGTTAGTCTTCGTCTTAGGAATAAAAAAAATAACTTTTTTTGATTTAGTGATACTTACTTTCGTTGATTTTTTTTTTGGCCAGTTTGTTTCTTAAGCAAGTTTTTCTTTTGTTGCAATAATTAAAAGAAATAAGTTACAACTTTTAGTAAAATCCTGTCGTCAAATAAAGAAAGTAATCATATCCACAACGATTTTTTTCCCATACTCATAACACGCGCTAAAAAACAACAGAGTCGACATTTTCTCTGTTTTAAAATTGTTTTTTTACGCGATCAAAGTGTTTTAAACTTACCATCTTTTATTATTCGCATTTAACACCATGCACAAGTCCAATAATTTTCTTTTATATAAGTAGGCACTTTTAATTTTTTTTTTTTGTTGTTGTTGTTCAAGCAAGCGTGTTCACACACATCCAAAAAGAACCTATACTCAGCCAACAAACGATGGATGTGGGTTTGAAACTTCACATCTCAGGCCAGGCCTGAAGATAAGTAAATTGATATAAAAAGGAAAAGAAATTAAGGTTGGTAACAGTAGAAAGTTGTGGGTTTGGACCGTGGGCTGTTTTGTCGGGGGTGGCCTATGCACACACGCACGTGTGTATGTGTGTGTGCGTATGTGCGTCTCTCAGCCAAACAAGACTAGTGGGTTAGAAGGGGGCACCTGCAGCTACTACTAC